TATAGAAATATCTCTATATAGTTAAGCTAGGATTTGGAGATATAGGGGATAAAATACTACCTAGCTATAATTTATCTGCAGATTATACAAATACCATATCAAAAACCAATTTATGTAGGTTTTCTTATGTTTTTATTAATTCCATTGTCTTTTTTTATATTTTATTTATGCTGCATCGTGCCTGGTGCTGAATAAATGATTTTTCTTTCTTTCTAGGTGCACAGATTTTTGACAATATTTTCAAACGTTATCAAAATTCTTATTACTGTTAAATTAATTGGCAACCCATCTTTAATTGACCTGGATCAGTGATAGCTTAACCTAATTGCGGTTTGCGTTAGTAACCGCAAGTCATTCATCTTTCTAGTATATTGGTTAACTGGTTCAGTAGAATATTCGCGAACAGGTAAAAACTACCAGGCCAATGTTACAATTCATACGCGTAACGTTTTAATTGTGTTTATTTTTAAAAGAGTAACGAATGGATTTTCTTGCTCGTTCTTCTTCACTCGAATCGACATTTTGGAACGAGCGCCTAGCTTCACTGACGGACAGACTATTATTTATTTTATATTTGTTGACGTTTCAAAAGTACCAAATTATGGTTTAATTGAAATAAATGCTTTTGAGATTGAATTTGAGTTTGAGTTTAACAAGTAACGGTAATGTTGCGTGTTACTTGCTTTATTTTTTTAAAAAAAAAAACGTTGCCCCACACTAGGATTTTCTCCTATATCGTGGGTGCGTTTGCAGATATACAAATTCACATACACATGACACCGAGACCCGAAACCACAATCTGTATCACACAAAGAGTTGTTCCGTGCGGGGATCGAACCCGCGACACGTTGCGCGGCAGCCATTTGCCCAGCCACTGCGTCAACACTTGTATTCAGATTTGTGACGAGATTCAACATTCACTCACTAGACAGAACATTACAATAATATGAATAACACAACTGTCAAATATACAGAACATACCTTTTTTATATGTTCTATGGTCGCTGTGGTTTAGACAAATGGTGTGGTTAAAGACATTAAAACAGTCAATCATATTTTTAACCGACTTCACAAAAAAGAGGTTCTCAGTTTGACCTGTATGTTTGTGCGCCATTATCTCACGACGGGCTGAACCGATTTCGATGTGGTTTTTAGAAAAGTACACTTAGGAGTACGTTTTAGAACGTTCATTAATTGACTTCAAAAAAAGAGTGCGTTGAATTTGTTTTTTAAACCTAGTTTAAAATTAATTATTTATTTATTTAAATCATCATTATCATCATTAATCACTTTTCTGTCCTGTCCAGCAGTACGGTAGGTTGTCCAGTACTTTGCCTCTGCGCCATCGTCAACTCTTCGTTCTCATCATATATTCATCACCGTACATTTTTTTAATTGTGAGAATCAATTCAAAGATCTTACTTGGCAACACCACTCGATTAGATACAACATCTACAAAAAATTGAAACTAAAATAAGATTACATATTTATGTAAGTAGGTCCAGTTATCTGGTCACGGTACAAAGTCCAGCCGTTAGCCGGCCGAGAATAATGGGTTCAATGTCCATGTCGGACAAAGTCCAGTATATAATAGCTTTCGAGTTTTTACGTCTCATCTTGACTATTAATAGATACATAGATGTGTTTTTTAGAGATCGGTCGGTATAGAAATGAAATCTGTCGTCGGCGGTATTTCCGAGCCGATACGACCTTCAAACGTTCAAGAAATTAGCGTATTTTTTAAAAAAAAGCTAGCGTTGCCCCTGTCTCTCCTCTGGTGTTCTGGGTGTCCACGGGCGGACCTAATCGCTTACCATCAGTTGACCAGTATGCTCGTTTGACTCCTATTCCAAAAGCAACCTATTTACTGGGGCCATAAAGACAACCACACTCTGGCAAAAATTCCAGTCATTAGCAGTACGAACAAGCTCGAACCGAAGCGCTTCTAACCAGTGGGTGAGATATTCACCATGAATCAGAATCAGTATTACAGATTTTACCAGTTAATAGGTACACATGCACCCACCATATTATTGTCAGACTTACAAATATTGCTGATTTATAAATATAAAACAAACTCACAATTCGTGCTTAACCGGATTTTGTCACATGTTATAAAATTGGCAAGTTAAACAACCCGTTTATGACGTTCAAAGTCCACTCTATCCGGCCAGTGATAACGGACTTTGCACTTATCTATGAGGATAAAAGTAAACAAAACGGTTATCTCCTAGATACGAAAAGGAGACAGATAAGAATGTCCTATCTAATATTCAAATTTGCGAAAGTTTGTTTGGATGTAGCGGTTAAACGTCTAAACTGCTGAATACATTTTGATGAGATTTTGGTTTAAAGATATATTGGATAATAGAAGCTATTTTAGACATGTATTATATTACGCCTGATACTAGTTAAACGGGTAGGCAGAGGTGTAATTTATCCATAACATGCCATTATTAATATGACATATGATTGGATTTATTATAATTTTCCGGTAAAATTATGGGATGATGTGAAAATGACGAAATCTATACTAATTTTGACGCAAGGAGAATTCGCGTGAAACAGCTTGTATCATAATTTTGTTTTTTGCGACAGAAGTCCAAAGGTCGATGAATGTATTATAAGCTTTGGACTTTGGCGAGAGCCTCAGTAGTGTGCTGTGTGTAACAGTGTTTGGTGTTCAGTGTACACGCGCCCTTTCAGACTTAGAGGATAAGGACATAAGGTACATTTCTTTTTGTTTTTTATTTTCTTTATATTGTTATTGTTGGTTTTTTTTAAAGATGAATAAATTACCTATATTCTTATTTTTTACATAATTAATGTATTCAAATCTTATAGTAGGTACCATTGCAATATATTTCGTAATACTACCTGGAACTTCAATAAATATTCAAAGAATATCATAGCTGAAGTTTGAAGTATTTATTTTGGGTACCTTCACACATGCACTTAGGAGGATTGTTTTGGTGACTTGTGTATATACCTACAAGTATACACGATGGACACAAGGCTACACATTGAGCTTTACATAACCAGTATAAACTGAACGTTAAATGTGCGGAAAGATGATGCGACGCGACACCAGGATAAACTGGTTTTGTATAGATTGATGTGTAGCCGTGTGCCTATCCATGTAACAATATTTGGGAATTATACGGATTTGTTCAGTTCTGAGAGCTTAGTACGTATTTGTCTTACGTTTAATAAGATTGAAATGAGATCGTGCTCGGTTCGACTCGTCGACGGTCCAGGCACTGCGCCAACCGTGTGAAATTATATCTGTAGGTATTCTACCACTAATAAAAGCGAATGACACTCGTCTGGGTTCGCAAATGACGACGTGTTCTTATGTAATAAACTATGTTATATACCTACTCATCTTTGTATACATAACAATTCAGTACATAATAGATAACACGTCACGTAAAACCACAATGTTTTGTTCGATTAGTTATTGTCAATGACTGTTTTTTAAAAAATAATTCGGAATCCAACATAAAATCTTTATTCATGAATATCGAAAAAGGTCAGTGAATCGCATTGAAATATTTTTTATTTAGACTAATAATAGTGTTATGGTTTTAATAAATACTAAAATAACGAGTTTCGTTTCTTAATTTGCAAAAAACATACATATTTAAAATCGATACGGAAGTAAAGTATTAAGTATTATTGAACTTCTTCGAGCGAATGGTATTGAAGAATTGTTTTAAATTGATAATCTGTTGTATACCTACTTTTTTCCTATTCTTAATTAAAAGATTACGCATACAATTAAATAAATAACTCACATGTGTGTTTGTGTGGGTTTCATTCAGTACAATAACACTACTAACCTCCTTTGACAAGTAAATTTGATTTTGGAATACATAAATACATCTAGATTCGAATTTCAATAGCCATTGAGACCGAGCGATGGCCGTCACCGCGCTACAGATTATGCACGAACCAAATATTTGATCACAGATACCTGCTTGTTTCCAGTCTCCGTGTTTGAGCACTCGAAATTAATGTTTATTAATGCAACCGCTGCATATATTCAAATAGTACGGACGTGCAAATGTATATTTTAAATTAGTTTTAATATCATCTGCGTTTATCTTTTAAAGATAGGAAAATTAATTATTTTATATGGCAACTTTGTATTTGGCGCGAAAGTTATATTCAAAATGGCGGCTGATGTTTTGTTTTCGAGCGAGTTTATTGTTAGATGTGTGTTTAAAGAGGGTTCTTTATAATTTTTGGGTCTAATTTGAATGAATGAATTTTGTTTCACAATGACGTGCTAATTATTCCGATTATTCACACGTTTCGTGTAACAATATGTTAATGATATATTAATTCGTTTTAATTTGACACAAATTCTTGGTATGTACATATTTACCTACAGGGAATAGTATTTTACTTAATTTTTTTTTTTAGAATACCTTCTTTTGCTTCTTTTTTAGCCATTTATTAATATTTTTATTAATCTATGGTAAATTAAGTTGATTATGCGACTGTAGGTCCTACGAACAATACACAATACCTATATATCAGTGCGTATTATGAATTATATTTATCTTCGTTTCAAGAATCGATATCTTTATATTAGTGAGCAACGTTTTGACAATGCAGTTTCAATGTCTGCAAATTTTCAAGGTAACTTTAGAATAAATATCCGTAGATTATTGTTGTTTAAGAATTATATTTGAATATTATTTACATGTTATTTCTCGTTAAGTTTTGTCTAAGAATATTTTAGTTAGGTATCATACACACAGATTCCACTAGGTCTTTTGTTCATCTTGTTTTGTAGTACGAAAATTATTTCTATCACATCTAATTAAATCAAATATTCAATACATTTCCTACTATATTTTGAAGGTTTATTTAATTATATTTACATATCAGCTAAATATAAATTGACTAATATTCCGACATAAAATAAAATAAAATAATATTTCTATCTTTTTAGATATCATCCCTACTGAAGCAAGAAATAAATAATAACAATGATCGCGACATTGCTATTGGTGGGTTTCATCGGGCTGGTGATCTATAGACTCCTGGCTGAGGAGGAGAATCCTCTGGACAATTTGCCTGGACCGCCACGGAAGCCGATCGTAGGATGTGTCTTCGAATTCCTGAATCTTACTCCACGTAAGTGTTTACCCTATTACTCATTGTAACCACTGATTTTCTGTAATTGAGATATATGTTGGTACTGCAGCTTTGATCGGAGCAGGAGTTGGAATGGAGTGGTTTTTAGTCATTAAGTACACTCCCTTCTGTTTTAACTAGAGCAACGTGCCTGAGCTTGCTTGCTTGCATGCTTCGGCACGAATGGGCCGGCTCGACCGGAGTGATACCACGGCCTCACAGAAAACCGACCTGAAGCAACGCTCGCGTTATGTTTCATCGTGTGAGTGAGGTTACCGGAGGCCCAATTACCCTCCCCTTCCCAAATCTCCCCAATCCCTGAATCCCCAACGATCCTCAAACTCCTAATCCCCAAAAAGCCGGTAACGCACTTGTAACGCCTCTGGTGTTCCAGGTGTTCATGGGCGACGCCGATTGCTTACCATCAGGTGATCCGTCGTCTGCTCGTTTACCGACTTATGCCATAAAAAAAAAATAACTACAATTCGGCTTATCTTTCTAGAGTAAAAAAACAAACGTACTATTGCGTTCTAGGTCATATTCATTCCAAAGAACGTACCTATTGTTATTCCGAAAGCTAATTTGCTGAAGAGTTCCCACCAATTACTGCACAGAACATCGAGTGCTTGTCTGTTATACATGACATTATATTACGCCTATTATTGTATGAAGGAGCTAATAGACCTATACTTACAGTAAAACAAAAATCAGCAGAGCCACTAGTAGTACATAGTACTTAGGTACCTACTTGAAGACAACCAATTTTTTTCTCAGTTAACCTACGTCCTGTGTCGGGTAAACAAAAAGTGATAATGGCATTTCCAAGTAAAATGACTATTTTAGTCAGGAGTCAGGAAGTTCGGCAGGGTTTTACCCCTGTGCCTCGGAAAGCATGTAAATGCCAGTCCAACGCCTGATCTCCCAAGTATTGTCTGTCTGCCGTCCCATCCGGTTCAGAGAGTGCAGTTGTGTTTGTGCATATCGGTGCTACTGTGGTCGTGGTGGCCCAGGGAAACGTATAGTCCCTTTTAAGTGACATCCGTGGGAAGGGTACCTACTGGTACTACAACGGCCCGGCCCGGATGTTTTAGACGCCCGCTTCTCATGCATGAGGGTGCGGCTTCGAAACCTACCAACTGCAAGTACCAATGTGACTTTTTTCGAGTTATATGTACTTTCTAAGACAATTTACACACCTTTGACAAACGGTGAAGGTAAACATCGTGAGGAAACCTGGGCTTATAATTTCTATTATAAGTTTGAAATCCCCAACCCGCATTGAGCAAGCGTGGTGATTAATGCTCAAACCTTCTCCATGTGAGAAGAGGCTTTGCTCAGCAGTGGGCATTTATAGGCTGTTGATGATGACATAGGTACTCTGGTACTATCTCCTGTGTTGTGGTCTAGTCTTGCTAGGTAGTTAGACTTGCCACCATGATTGAAATCGAGCAGGATCGAGGCTTTATGTTAAAACTTTTGTTTGTTTCTAAGTAAAACGTAAACAAGACAAGTGAAAATCCAATATTTAAGTAACAAATCTAATATTATTAGGTTCAAGTGCTTGTGACGTGTTCACTCCCCGTTTAGATCGAAGTCTTAGGTAACTAAATATTAATATTCGGTCTAGAATTGAATCAAGTTATGGTGTAACCTACCTATACTCTTTTTACAAGCCCGCTACAACCTTCCAAAACCGCTGCAACTCCTGTTCACTAGGATCTACAGTATGTAGATACAACCATGAAAACACCGAAACACTGAAGTCCGGCGCGTCCCAGGGATATGAGTAACTGTCTTGGTACCTACATATCACACATCATACATGAACAGCCTATAGAAGCCTTTGGCCACTACTGACTAAAGGCTTCATCTCGTACGGAGAAAGTTTGAGCATTAATCCCTACGTTCGCTCAATACGAGTTGGCGATTTCAAACTTATAATTAATAAAAATTATAAACTCAGGTTTCCACACAATATTTTCATTCACCGTTTGTCAGAGGTGTCTAAATAATCTTAGAAAGTATCATATATGTCGTAAAACGTCACATTGGTACCTTGCCGTTGATAGGTTTCAAACTCGCAACCTCATGCAGGATGAGCGGATGTCTTAAACCTCCGAGCCACTGGTACTTGTTCTCGATCACTAGAATCTGGCTAAAACGTATTTATCCAAAAGTAGATGTGTTGCATAAGTCCTCTTTTTGGAGAACACATCAGTACAAGTCATAAAAATATAAAAATACATAGATATATGTAAAAATATCATAGAGAAAAAAAATACTATAGATTAATATCCATGGTAACTTTTTATTTGTCTAAAAAAATTTTATCAAATTCAAATCGTTTATTGCGAACATAGGTCAAGTGTAGATGTTACAATAGTTATTATAAAATAATTTGATCAGCTACACGTGTCATGAAATTCGATTCTAGTTCAAAAACAAACAAACAAAGAATTTGGCAACACTACATAATTATCTTCGCAAAATTAATCCAATTTGTAGTATCGTGTATGTTATATCTTTATTAAGTATTATATAACGCATTAATTCGATCCCGTCAACTACAGATAACGGGAGTAGTTAATTTTCTTCACGCACGCACGGGTCTGAAAGGTTTCACATATACACGTATTTCTCATACACAGCGTGTTTGGCGCATATACTGACAATATTTTTTATTGATATAGGAGGTTCATTATTTATTATTATTATTTATTTTCAGCCATGATCGTCCTACTGCAGGGCAAAGGCCTCCCTACCCTCCTTCCGCTCCTCTCTATGTAAAGCTTTTTGCGGCCAATCCTTGTCATAGATGTCTAATTCGTCCCGCCATCTCCTTTTAGGTTCATTAGCTACTTTTTATTCGAAAACCAAAATTCCTTAGTTTATAGGTACCCTTTATAACGTTATTTCGAGTTGTTGGAAACATTTGGCGCAAGTTTTCATTTCAATTAAAAATGAATCAATCGTGGTATTTGGGACTAATGGTTTTCAGATAAAAAGTAGCTGATAGCCTCTCAAATCCCAGAAATATTTGTGTCGGTCTATGCGCCAAACACGCTGTATATAAGAAATATGTGTGTATGTGTATACATGTGTATTTATGTCAGTTTGTTTGTTGATATCCCATCTTCCTTTGATAAGTTTATCGTGAATTAGTCTTTCTCTTTAATTAAGTTGGTTATAATTACTTACTTGTAATTATTACACTTTCAATATCCTGAAGAAGTAGGTAATTAGAGGGAATCCATTTCTTTTAGCTTCTTTTTAAGGGGGAAAATCATCGAATGACTTCTCCCGCCCGGGCATACTAAACACATTTTTACTGCTACGAAGATATTTTAAAATATCGTCGATGGAATATTTTTAAAGCTTACATTGATAAAATAAAGTTTGGAATTTTACCCTATGTATAGCTCCACTACCTACATAGCCGTAAAATAATCGAATTCTTTGTTGTCTAAATCACTTTCAGAACTAGTTGTTTTTCCTGTACTAGGAGCAAAGTTATCAGACAATAATAGTGACATATTATTACCTTCTCCGGGAAAAAGGAAACTATTATTAGATTACCCACTGTGGTGTTCTCGTATCAATAATATTCCATAACACTTGTAAACTTTTCTAGTTAGCAGAACCTAACGTCGCGGAGAACCTAACGGGTTACTGGAGCTCCGGCTCGACGTGCAGGAGAAGGAACGGGGTGGTTTTTAGTTAGTAAGAGTCTGACACTCCCTCCCGCCTCATCCAGGCGTTAGAAGTCATTCGATGATTTTCCCCCCTTAAAAAAAGCCCTCTTCAGTGAGAGGTGATCAGAGCTCCGTTACGGGGTATTATCATCTCTTAAAGATTTCAGTACCTTTTTTTTTAAGGGGTGAACTCATCCAATGCTATCGCCCGCTCGGGTAAAATGAGAGGGATTGTCAGACTCTTACAGACTAAAAAAACACCTCATTCCTACTCCTGCACTTCGAACCGGAGTCCCGGCAACCCGTTAAGTTTTCCTTGGCTCCGTATCAGGTTTTCAGGCCCTATGATTATGATTATAACTGGATTTTCATCCTCGATATACAAAAGCCCTTCGTCTGCGATAAATGTTGTTCGATTGATTGAGTGATCGAGGGAAAATTTGTGTTATTAGAGAGAGGTGTGGATTGAAAGATGATGTAGTGACAAGGATTGAAAAGGGAATGGTACGCTGGTTTGTACATGTAGAAAGGATGGATGAAACTAGAGTAACGAAAGAAGTATACAGAGCGGATATGAATGGGGTCATCGGTAGAGGGCGCCCTAGACGGACATATAGTGACCAGATTGGCGATATATTAAAGAATGGCCAAATTAAAAGTACCCTTAACCGACGAGCCTGCATGAAAAGATTTATGACTGTTAATAAAGCGAAAGAGGTATGTAAGAATCGTAGTAATTGGCGTTCCTTAGTCTCTGCCTACCCCCATGGGAGACAGGCGTGAAGTTATGTATGTATGTATGATTTCTATTTCGACATTTATATTATGGCACAAAATCGTTACATGTAATTTAGCCATTCCATAAACCATTTCATAAATATGTAAACAACTCTAAATACTCAATCAGCGAAAGGTAAATAGTATATAGCTACTGTTTACCCCTTCAAGCTATAGAAAGCGCAATGTAATGTTTATTAAGATTAATTAATTGGTTAAGATTGCAACCCTCAACAATATCAAACCAGAACTCTGGAGTTTTGATGTAAACAGGTTAAACAGCATTCAACACTCAATTAGCGAGATTTTGAAACTGAAGTTATAACGTTAATTACATTGTTTATTTATTGTAATAAGCTGTGGTTTCTAATTTGGACTTTTCCCATCGTAACATATTTAGATTTCTGATTCTTATATTTTACTAACTGAACACGAAAATTCGTCTGCGTTTTTCTAAAATAAACGTAGCAGGTAGGCAGAGGTGTACATTATGCCACTGTACAATGTAACACCCACTTTTCACTATTTATGTTATGAGTCCCATGTAATAGGGGGTGAGCTTATTGCCAAATACCGGGCATAATTGGGTAGTTGCCTGGGTCAAAAATAAATTATTTAGATTTTTCAATCCAATTAAATATTGAAAAATAGTTACACTTTCATTCATTGATTCGCCGATATACTTAATTTTCGATTTATTCTTGCATTTTCTTCAGATATAAGTGTGCTATTTGACGCGAAAATATGATGACGTCATAAGCTAGTATTTCGTACAAAATTCATAGAATAGTATCGTTTTTGACGTTTCGATAAAAGTATTGAATTTGACTAGTTGTCAACTACCGTATTCCAGACTCCGTGCTACTACTGTGAATTTTTTGAAAAACCCAGTAATACTTTGTCCGACCCGGGAATCGAATCCGAGACCTCTTGCACTCGGTCAATGAGGCACTACAAACAAACACACATTACATTATAAAAACAGCAGAATATATAAAATTTATTTGTTGCAGGTGTGATGTTCAAGAAAATGCGTCTGTACAGCGAGGTGTATGGAGGCCGCTACATAGTTAAAATATTACGAAGAAGGATTCTACATCTTCACAATGTTAATGATGTTGAGGTTGGTATTCACATACAACCACAATTTGCAAAATCTAGATTCATAGGTATCCTAAATATAAAAATGATTTTCTATATACCTAACTCGAGAACGGCTGAATTTGGGCCCCCTTGAAATATTCGTGGAAGTCCAGGGAAGGTTTAAACAGTAAGAAATATAATTTTAGGAGCTTCGAAGTTTGCCGAGTCAGCTAGTATTTTATAATAATACTAGCGACCCGGCCCGGCTTCACACGTATGCAATATGTGTGTATTATACAAGGTGTTGTTTTAAAGCCGCGTCATTTTCTAGGAGGTAACTCGGCTATCGATTCTGAGTACAAATCAATAAAAAAAATTGTAGGTTTTATTATAGCCGTATTTTTAACTAATGGTTCTAAACTTTTTCTTACATTGAACCTTTATGACTTCTGTGACATGCCCCCGAGAAATGACACGGCTTTAAAATTACACCTTGTATATACAAACCTTTTATTTGCCCACAGCTGAGCAAAGCCTCTTCTCACACGGAGAAGGTTTGAGCATTAATCACCACACTTGCTCAATGTGGGTTGGTGATTTCAAACTTATAACTAGAACTTATTAACCCAGGGTTCCTCACGATTTTTTCCTTCACCGTTTGACAGTGGTGTCTAGATAATCTTAAAAAGTACATGTAACTCGGAAAATGTCGCATTGGTACTTGCTGTTGGTAGGTTTCGAACCCACACCCTCATGCATGAGAAGCGGGCCTCTTAAACCTCCGGGCCACCACGACATATTATGTGTATTTTTTGTTGTTACCGACAAAAAAAAGCAATACCTTTTTGTAGGTAAGAGTCTGACAATCCTCTTAGTCTTCATCAAGTGAGGGTTTCGCAAGAATTTTCATTTTGTTGTAAAATAAAGGATGTTCTGTTAACGTTAATAAATAGGAACAATATTTAGGTTTTCGTGTTCGCATTAAAACGTGTTTTTCTCGGTGTATTTTCGGTACAACTAACAAATTCATTAATCCATGCTAAAAATTGTGTGGAACGTTTATGTTTGGTGTGGCATTCGTATTATTATTGCAATATTTCAATATACAGCTATTTAAATAGGTAAAGTCGACGTAAACGTCATTCTTTTTGTTATGTCGACACCTGCGCACACACACATGCGCTCACTTGTTTTTTTTTCATATAAATGTTCAACCTTATCTGATATTTCAGACGGTTCATTTTCGCCTTATATTTGGCATCTTACATACAAAATGATAAATGTTTGAACTCAGAATGAATCAAGAGTGCACTCTCGGTTCACTAATGAACTCATTCTGCAGAATGATCCAACGATGTTGGATTTTGGCATTCGGAATCATTCACTCCCGCTTGGAATGAACAAAAAATTAACTGTCTGCACACAGAGTGAACATTCACTTGGATTTTAATAAATATCACAAAAACTGCAGCTGTAGCCAAATTCCATTTAGCGCTTGTCTATATGTACAATAGTAATTATATGGAATTGACGTAAATTTTGACACTTGTCAGTATCATCCCCATACATTTAGTTTTCTACTCTCTCGGTAGGCAAGCGCTAAAGTGGTGTTTGGTTATAGGCACTGATTCCCAGACGCACGACACCACTGGATAACATATTTAAAAAAAAGAATAAATGGTTCTTGTCAGTCTTTTTCTCCGTCATTCAATATAAAGTCGTCTGAACATGGAATGGAATCATCATCAACAGCCAATAAATGCCCACTGCTGAGCATAGCCTCTTCTCACATGGAGAAGGTTAGAGCATTAATCACCACGCTTGCTCAATGCGGGTTGGCGATTTCAAACTTATAATTAGAAATTATAAGTCCAGGTTTCCTCACGATGTTTTTCCTTCACCGTTTGTCAGTGGTGTCTAAATAATCTTAGAAAGTACATATAACTCGGAAAAAGTCACATTGGTACTTGCCGTTGGTGGAATGGAATGGAGTGAAAGATATGTATATGAAACATTCACTGGGGATAATATTCATTCAAGTGAACCGTTTGATATCACCTTATAATTTGCATGTGTCTCAAAATGTGAACACCTAACATGTCTGGCGCATGCATCAAGCAAAGGAATAAGCAGTACATAGGTACAAGCATACTCATACTAACTCATTGAAGAAGTTCATCATCAGCCGCCTGTTTTCGTCTGCATTCGTATTCTATTTGCCATACAGACCACATTTATTCTTTTGATGAAAAACCATTATTGGTAGATTCTACAGGATTTTTCTTTGCCACGGCAATAAGTATACACTATTGTAGGATTCCACGTCAGGTATTTAAAATATGTAGCACTTATAACACGTATATACCTCTAAATGAAAACACTGCCTCATTGGCCGAGTGGTCACAAGTGCGACTGTCGGGCAAGGGGTCTCGGGTTCGATTCCCGGGTCGAGCAAAGTTTTACTGGGTTTTAAAAAATTCTCAGTAGTAGCACGGAGACTGGAATCGTGTCCGGTATATGGTAATAGGCTCACCCCCTATTACATGGGACTCGTAACATAAATAGTGAATAGTGGGTGTTACATTGTACAGTGGCATAGTGTACACCTCTGCCTACGGAGATAAAAGGCGTGATGTTATGTTATGTTATAAATGAAAATAATTGTATAGATATAATTAACTAGGTATATTTTGTAATATATAACAATAAAGCCGTACTTATTCAACACAGAGCTAAAATCACAATACAAAATTATTTTTAAATTACTTTTGTTGTTGGAATATATTAATTTTATCTCTGTCCATATTTGAAATGAAAATTATAATGTATTTAATAACTACAAAGGTTCAATATACTGAGAATGTACATGTATTTTAGAGATCTGTACGAAATATACCTGTTTTATATTAATTTCTATAAACTAGCGCGGAGAACCTAACGGGTTACCGGGGCTCCGGCTCGACGTGCAGGAGAAGGAACGGGGTAGTTTTTAGTCAGTAAGAGTCTGACACTCCCTCCCGCCTCACCCAGGTGGGAGCAGTCTTTGATGATTTTTCCCCCTTAAAAAAAAAGTCAAGCTAAAAAAGTAAGTTTGCAAGGCACATAGTGCTATGTATTTTCTATTAACTTTTATGGGATAGAGTTATGAGTTTGTGTATCTATATGAACAACGAGATTTTCCCGTTTCTATCACTTTATATACAGCTTTTTAAGTTTAAAAAAACCTAATGTAATAAAGAAATACGTACGTACGGTTTTGTCATGCCTCGTTGGCCAAGTGGTCGCAAGTGCGACGGGCGGGCAAGGGGTCTCGGGTTTGATTTCCGTGTCGGAAAAATTTATAAAAATCTCAGTAGTAGCACGGAGTCTGGAATTGTGCCCGGTATATGGCAATACGCTCACCCCCTATTACATGGGACTCATAACATAAACAGTGAAAAGTGGGTGTTACATTGTACAGTGGCATAATGTACACCTCTGCTAACCCCTTCGGGGATAAAAGGCGCAATGTTATGTTATATTATGTACATGGTTTTTTGTCATTTTTTAGATGTAGCAAAGACTTTATGGCCATCACTTGTATTTGTCATCGGTCTTTGACTTTTTACTACTATTTTTATACTTTTTTTTTATATATTAATACTATATATTCATACTACGGAACTCTTAGCATAATATGACTCTCAGTCGAACTTGTTCTGTTTTTTTACAATAAATTGAATGAAATCAAACTTACAGACACAGCTGTCCGATTTAAATTAAATTGTACATGAAATATTCATTGAAATAATAATTATTTCAGCACAATCAGAGTGTTTGGGCGATGAGTATATTATGCATGGTTGTATCTATGCTGTGGTACACTGCAATCTATATGCAAATTATGCATTGTGGTACATCTCTCAGTATAAAAAATTACGAAGTGCTAAAGCTGATGGTGGAGTTAGTGATTTTGTCAAGAAATGAAATCGAAACATTCGTTTCATTCGGCAGTTAAAATATTACACGTATTTTTTTAAAAACTCAGTAGACTGTTTTTGGCACCGAAGTGGAAAATCCTCATGCAGTTGCCTTACCTGGGGAGGACGAAAAGAAATGTCAGACTGAGAGAGAGAGAGAGAGAGAGAGAGAGAGAGAGAGAGAGAGAGAGAGAGAGAGAGAGAGAGACTGTACGAGGGTGCGGGGAACATAATTATTTCGTAAATTCTCTTGTCAGATCTCGCCTCTAAAAAGAAAGGTGCACAGAAGCGTGAGTGCCCGTTTGGCACGGTGGCTGGGCAACCGACTGCCACGCAACGTGCAGCGGGTTCGATTCCCGCACGGAACAACTCTTTGTGTGATCCAAAAATTGTTGTTTCGGGTCTGGGTGTCATGTGTATGTGATATTGTATGTTAATTAAAGCACCCACGATACAGGACAAAATCCTAGAGCAACGTTTATTAAACCAATAAAAAAAGTGCCGTTTCTTCTTATTAATGTTCTATTATTCTTTGCAGATCGTGTTGTCTCACCCGAGGAACATAAAGAAGAGTAAGCCATACAGCTTCTTGGAAGGCTGGCTTGGCACTGGACTGTTACTCAGTTCTGGTAAGTCCATCTTTCTTTGTCTTTTATCTTGCTTCTTCTTCTCTGTCGTTTCGTTCTTGGCAGAGCGGTCGTGGTCACGTTGAGGCGGCCGTATTTGTGTTGGTGGCCGATACAGCTTTCCTCACGATCTCTCGCCATCTCTCTCTGTTTGTGGATTGTCTGGCGCAGTCTGACAATAGGTTTCCCGTTGCCGATTTGACTTGATCAGTCCAGCGCATAGGTGATCTGCCTCGTGATCTGGTTCCCTCTACTTTCCCCTGAACGACCAGCCGCTCTATTCTTATCTTGCTTACTAACTTATTTATTTTAGTTTTAATTTTTTTTATCTTTATTTATTTGAAATGTATATAACTTACTTACTTTTATCTTAATGATTTAGAGTTATGCCTATCCAGCTGCAATAATTAGTCAATATCTCACATAGGAATGTACTTAGAAATCTAGTCTATAAAGCCGTCGACGAACCTGCGTCACTAAAAGAACGAACACGGAGAATATTTTTCTCCTTAGTTTATTTTTTCTTCTCCAATGCAAGATCTCATCTTTTGGATATATAAAGCTTCGTCGTCATTATAAACATCCAATACAGTCCACTGCTGTATTATGGGCTCCTCCAGGAAGAATAAGGACGGTGCTTTTGTGGTTACCACTCACTATAAGACACTTAGGCCTACAGAAGTTACCGTGGGGGCTCCTGAGCAGGTGTATTAGAGGATTCGGAGCCCTCTATAGGTGATGATGGTGGCCACCGGGGTAGTTTTAGTGAGATAAAAATCCCATACCGCACCTAGTATTTTCTCTCTAAAACTTACATGGCTTTTGTTGTTGGGATTACTCGACACTATGATTTTCTCCTGTGTTGTGGGTGCGTTTACATACAGACCCGAAACAACAATCTGTGGATCGCATAAAGAGTGGCTCCGAGCGGGAATCGAACCAGTTCCACGTTGCGCGGCAGCGTGCTAATCATGCAGTCAGGTTCCCCCCGTCATAAAAAAGCCCTATAGAATTTGAAAATTTATCTAAAAGTTAAAATTTATCTTTTTCTTTCTATATGAAAAGTTTACCCATTTGTTTTTTCAAAATGTGGTTGCACGACATTCTTGGCAAACCAAAGTCTAAACTTTAGTTGGTGTTCAAAGGTCCTGAATGTTACAATGTACTAATAATAAAGCCGCAGGTCTTAGTACTATAGTTAGAGTTAGTTAGTGGTTTAATCACTATCACGTTGTGTGACTGTGTTTTACTACTTATGACGCTTTTGTCAAGCGGTTAGTTTGTTGAAATAATAGTAATTAATATTTAGTGTTTGTAGCGATGGAGTTACATGTGTTTGTATTTGTTTTAGGTAACAAGTTAACAGAGAAGAGTTGTGTGTTAGATATCACTTAACTCCTTGTTTTGTTTACATTATTTATTTATTTTAAACTGTTTAACCCATTATTGAATGTGATCCTAGATACTGGCTCCTTGTGTTCCTTTCTTGTGCGTACTGCTAAGGAGGGGAATTCTTTGCCAGAGTCTGTATTTCCTGAAGGGGTGGTGTCCCGCCCGAGTAATTAGGTTGCTTATGGGACGACTTGCTACATTGTAGACCGCATCATCGCTTACCACCAAGAGAGACAGTGGTCAACGTCGTTCCATCAAAAAAAATCTCAATAAAAATAATAAAATCCATATAAATCACGTTGCATAATAGTCTTTAAATTCACCAGGTGCAAAATGGCACAGACGTCGCAAGATCCTGACTCCAACTTTCCACTTCAACATTCTGAAGAACTTCACCAACGTGATGGAGGAGAGGAGTCGAGGACTGGTAGACAAGCTGAAGGAGTACGACGGCAAGGAAGTTAACCTCATGCCGGTCATCAGTGATTGTACCCTGTATACTATTTGTGGTGAGTCGAAAAATCAACCCTAAAATAAGTAGGAGTATTTTATTATAGACATAGGAGCAAAGAAACGATGTCTCTAGCGTTTTTTCCTTTTCATTTGTTGATGAATATTTTCATCATGTATAATGTAACACCTACTTTTCACCATTTATGTTATGAGTCCCATGTTATAGGGGGTGAACCTATTGCCATACATATACTGGGCACAATTTCAGACTCCGTGCTAATACTGAGAATTAATACTTTGCCCCACCCGGGAATCGAACTTGAGAACCCTTGCCCGGTAGTCAGCACTTACGACCACTCGGCCAACGAGGTAGTCAGTAATTTAAACATTTAACCAATTTCTTCTCCTCCATTCAGTAATTTAAACAATTCCTTTTGAATAATATTAGGAATTGGATTTTGAACGATTTCTTTCCCTTTTACGGCCTTCCCGAAAAGGTCCTAAAATGAAATGACAAACATTAATTCTGAAAATATACAGTAAGTAGGTACTAAAAGTAGGTTGCTTACCTAAGCAAACTTACTAAAAATGTGTATTTTCATTTCCAAAATACAAAAACTTGATTATAGCATATCCAATTTGCCTTTCAAAACGTTAGTGTTCCTAACATTAATGGTATTGCTAAGATATTCTTGAATCTTTTTTTTTTATGGCATAAGCCGGTAAACGAGCAGACGGATCACCTGATAGTAAGCAATCGGCGTCGCCCATGGATGCCTGGTACACCAGAGGCGTTACAAGTGCGTTACCGGCTTTTTGGGGATTAGGAGTTTGAGGATCGTTGGGGATTCAGGGATTGGGGAGATTGGGGAAGGGGAGGGTAATTGGGCCTCCGGTAACCTCACTCACACGACGAAACACAACGCAAGCGTTGCTTCACGTCGGTTTTCTGTGAGGCCGTGGTATCACTCCGGTCGAGCCAGCCCATTCGTGCCGAAGCATGGCTCTCCCACAAATTTATCTGAATCTTTGAATCAGCTTATGCAGACGTGCAACTTTTTTGTGGTGGTAATCGAAATAGTATATTCTGTGTTAATTAGAAGGTGTTATTTTGTATAATAAAGTCATAGCTACTCCGGCTTCACTAGCTCTGTTCGGTTCCTATAGATCGTAGCTTGATGTTTTATAGCCTACAGCCATCGAATACAAAATAATAATTTAATTCTAAGTAGTGCAGAAGTTCCGGAAAATAAAGCGTTGCAACAAAGCAACAGACAGAACCTTCAGCTTTATATAATAGTATAAGATATTTAGTTAAACATAACATAACATAACATCACGCCTTTTATCCCCGAAGGGGTGCACATTATGCCACTGTACAATGTAACACGCACTTTTCACTATTTATCTTATGAGTCCCATGTAACAGGGGGTGATCCTATTGTCATATACCGGGCACATTTCCAGACTCCGTCCTACTACTGAGATTTTTTTTTTAAATGCAGTTATACTTTGACCCACCCGGGAATCGAACCCGAGACCGCTTGTCCGGCAGTCGCACTTGCGACCACTATATCAACGAGGCAGTATAGTTGAATATATACTTGGAAAGGTGGCATAATATTATACCTTTACTTTTAACACTGCGGCCTTCTGTGGCCATTTATTTAATAAGACCTTTGCTTGCAGACGTAGGTACATAATCTGCCAACATCTGTAGATTTTTTGAGACACCCCAATCTTGAGCAGATGTGGTCTTGTGACGTCACCGGAATATTCGAGAGGATTATTTTTAAGCCAGTTTTATTGCCTAGATAAGGTCAGGGAACAGAAAAGCTTGATTTTCTCAGAATTTTCTGGAAATGTTTGGTAAATGTGCCGGATAAGAGGAAATTAAGGGACGGAACTCTTCTGGGTTACAACTTAGTCTGTTCATTGTTCGTTTCTGTAAGGCTAATTTAACGTCACAAGTCACGCATGTCTATTCCTTAGGGATACATTTTACCAGGACATCGAGCATTTATATAATAATACTAGCTTCTGCCCGCGACTTCGTACGCGTACCATCCCATTTTTTCCCGTCCCCGTTCGTGATTTTCGGAAAAAAGTAAAAAAAAAATGTAGGTTAAAAAAGTATCCTATGTCGGTCTCCTGGCTCTAAGCTACCTCTTTACCAATTTTCAATTTCAACCAAATCTATTCTGTCGTTCTTGAGTTATAAGTGGTGTAACTAACACGACTTTCTTTTATATAGAGCCCAGACAGGCTCGGGTCAATAGGCCTATGTCAGAGGTCGATTTATGAACGTACTCGCATTATTATAGTCGAGTAAGCTTGATCATACTCGATCTCGGAAACGGCTTTCAATTTATGAAATTTTGTATTTAGAAGGTTTCGGGACGACAAATCTATCTAGCTTGATTTGATTTGACTAGGTTTTAATATCAGAAACTGTTATTTTGTTCTTGTTTTTATTGAATAAAAACCAATACTATTATTAGAACACGAAACTAAATGTCGTGTAAAACTAAATTTCGTCAATGTTTTAATAGAGTTTTAAATACGGTACTTTATTAATATACAAAATTAAATAAAATAAATACTAACTATTACTAAATTTATACAACTTAAGATAAAAATTAAATAAAATAATACTAAAAATAATTATTTACACAAAACATCGAAAAATTCGTCCGCATCGACGTCAGAGGCCTTAGTACGAGTTTGTTTTACGCTTAAAGTTTTCGTAACGAGTACATGTTCGGCGCTCTGATTGGTTGGTTCATTGGCGCCGGCCAATCAGATTGCCTAACGCGTACTCGTTTCGATTACTTTAAACGTAAATCAAACTCGTACTAAGGCCTCAGTAGGGAAAGTTTAATAGCTTAGTCGAGAAATCGAGTGCCTTCCTCGCAGAACATTCGGGTTCAATCCTCGGCCCCAATTGTTCTTATATTTATTCTGTTATCTATTTTATCTTTGGTTCTATTTTATTTTATTCTATTTTTTCCATAATATTTTTTCTACTGCTTTTCGACTACCTCGTTGGCCGAGTGGTCGCAAGTGCGACTGCCGGACAAGGGGTCTCGGGTTCGATTCCCTTGTCCGGCAAAGTATTACTGGGTTTTTAAAAAATTCTCAGTAGTAGCACAGAGTCTGGAATTGTGCCCGGTATATGGCAATAGGTTCACCCCCTATTACATGGGACTCATAACATAAATAGTGAAAAGTGGGTGTTACATTGTACAGTGGCATAATGTGCACCTCTGCCTATACCTTTGGGGATAAAAGGCGTGATGTTATGTTATATTATTTTTTCTAAAACAATATGCACCAAAATACACTGAGCAACGCTCGTTTATCCAGGCACTAGAATTAATTAGCTGTCTTCTATAAAAACATATAACTTACTATCCTCTTCCAGAAACTGCAATGGGTACTCAATTAGACTCTGATTCTTCTACAAAGACCCAAGAATATAAGACAGCTATCCTGCAAATTGGGGGGCTACTCATGGGTCGTCTCACAAGAGTATGGCTGCACAATGAGTATATCTTCCGAAAATTCCCAATGGGTAAGCAGTTCGAGAAATGTCTAGAGAAAGTTCATTCTTTTGCTGATAACGTAATAATGGAGAGGAAGAAGAATTGGAAACCTGGACAGAGTAATGCGGGAGAAGATGATATAGGTGGAAAAAAGAGGTTGGCCATGTTGGACGTACTGTTAGAAGCTGAGAGGAAAGGAGAAATTGATTTAGAGGGAATAAGAGAAGAAGTTAATACGTTTATGTTTGAGGTGAGTTTCTTATGTTGTATGAACATTGTTATATTTTTAACTTTTTGGAAAGTCTTTAGTACTTTGACTTCTTGTGATGTAATAGGTTTCAACAATAAAATCATATGATTTTGTTGATATTACAAACACAACATAACTTCACGCCTTTTATCCCCGAAGGGGTATGCAGAGGTGCACATTACGGCGGTATTTATGTTATGAGTCTCTTGTAATAGGGGGTGAGCCTATTGCCATATACCGGATACATTTCCAGGTACATTCCCGTGATACTACTGAGATTTTTGAAAAAACCCAGTAATACTTTGCACGAGCCGACCATCGAACTCGAGACCCCTTGCCCGGCAGTCGCACTGGCGACGAGGCAGACCAGGTTAGTTACTTTGTTGATATAAACAAAGTAACTAACTTTGACAAATGAAATAATTCAATACAGCTAGGCTATTTGTAAGATGTCAATTAGAACTCTGGGAGTGATCTCCATCGCATTTTCGTTGCTTTGAGCAAATACTCTTTTATTTTGGGCTATTCGCAAATGAAATAGGTGATATCTCAAATTCAATCTCCTACTTCCTACTCCTCGAATGTTTGTCGAAAGAAATATCTAGTAAGATATGTAAATCACATTAACAAAATGGAGGATTTACTTTGCTTCAAGAGAAACTAATTCAGCGAATTCGTTACGGTAATATTTCTACGAAATATTCTTCCAAAATATATTAATGCCGGTTATTAACAAGTGAAGACCTGGAAAATCTGGGTTTAGGGAAAATTTCCTAATAGATGAAGGAGGGATTTTGAGTGTATCGGTTTGTTAATAAGATTTTTGTTTCAGGGACACGACACTACAGCAATGGCTCTCGTTTTTGGACTTATGTTGCTAGCAGACCATCCAGAAGTACAGGTAATTGAACATTATTTCGAAATTTTTTATTTAAGGAACTGTGTTATGGTATTATTATGTTCCGTGACATAGAAAACAAAACCCATTACCATAATATCTACATTACGACTTGCGAAAACGACTTGTGGAGGCCCGGCTTCAATGCCCCGAACACAGGCGTAAGGTTACAAGTCTTTCGGTCTTCTACAGGATACATTTCCGAGAGTGTGCAGGAGAATTGCACAACTTGATTCCCCCTAGTCCTTTCCATCATTGTACCACAAGACAATCGGCGAAGCTTTATCGATTCATGGTAGATGTCCCACCCACACACACGAAGACGCTTCGCATCAAGCTTCTTCGTGCGTACTGCTAAGTAGTGGAATTCTTTGCCAGAGTCTATATTTCCTGAAGGGTATAACCTGGGTGTCTTCAAGGCCCGAGTGAATAGGTTGCTTATGGGTCGACGTGCTCTATCGTAGGCCACATGATCGCTTACCACCAGGCGAGATAGTGGTCAACCGTCAGTCCCATCAAATATATATATATATATATATATATATATATATATATATATATATATATATATATAAAGTCCTTGCAACGAGATAATAGAGGTAAAATACACCTATTGTGGAATGAACTCCCTGCCGTAGTTTTCCCAGTGGGCTACAACATGGGGCTCTTCAAGAGGGGAGTGAATAGGTTTCTTAATGGTCGTTAAGATGCATGTAATGCCCCAAGTGTTGCAGGCGTACATAGGCCACGGTAAACGCTAAACATCAGGTGGGTCGTGTACATTCATGCCACCGTCGTCGTGGTATATATTATATAAAAAAATCAAGCTGCTATTCAGAACTCCTTTATCACTAACCAGTACTTAAATATTCTGACGTAGGTACTTGAAATCAGAATTGATAGCAGGCTAGAGTTGTTTCCCAAAGCGAAGGGTATTGCGTGGTACAGTTTATCTTAATTAATCGCTAGTTAATCCTATGTGGCGTATCCTTTACTGGGTATATCTCTACACGTTTTCTGCCATGTTTTTGTGATGTAGAAAATTAATGATAGAGTTTAATATGCATTAGTTGAACTCTTTGAGTACCGTCATTATAGACACAATTAAAGAACAATAGGTTGCGGTCACCGGTGACCGCTCGGTGTTTGATAGTTTAAATCGTTACATCTTTCCTTTCTATACGTATGTAAGAACTTTAAAAAATCGAAGACTGCTAGACAGATATTTGTAATGTATTTTTTTCGAGAAGTAGTGTGAATATTAAGGAAAGATTTGGTTTTAGAAAAATATATTATGTTTTTTATAATAACTACGTGAGACATACATAAATTATCAGAGAGCTGCTCGACGTCGCCGGGACTGCGAACGCTGCACATGGGGAAGAACCCCTCTGTGGTTCGAAACTAGTAGAGCTTTTCTCAGTATATTTACGAGAGTAACCCGCGATTTTAGTTAATTTAAATATATTATGTTTTGGAATATACGTATGAAGAAAACCAGTTTGTTAAATGTTAAGTGATCCAGACAACCTCTCCATATAAAGTTACATCTCCATAAACAGATATACTATTTCATATTATAAATGACTGCCTCGTTGGCCGAGTGGTCGCAAGTGCGACTGCCAGGCAAGAGTCTCGGGTTCAATGCCTGGTTTGGGCAAAGTACTACTGGGTCTTTAAAAAATATATATGGCAATAGACAATACTCATTACATAAAAAGTGAAAAGTGGGTGTTATATTGTATAGTGGTATAATGTGCACCTCCGCTTACCTCTTCGGGGATAAAAGGCGTAATGTTATGTTGTTATAAATTTGTCCGGAATTTCCAAACAAAATTAAGTATTGTTAATAAAGATATAACAAAAGGCTTGAATTTTACTGAAACAAATTACATATTTAATAAAAAGAACAAAACGTTGTTGTCAATCCTTTCCCGGAATCGAACTATTAATAATAATATATGTAATGGCTTTTTCTCGGTAATACAATATAGGTAGTCTTACAAAGAAAAAAAACATCAACGAACCATTGTAAAAATCAAACTTCGAAAGTACATACGAACACATATCACACTATTGTAATAGGGATGATGACAGGGTATGAAAATTAAAAATGTAATTAGTCCGTCAGCTGTAATGAAAAAATATTAGACATGTATTTTTTTTTAAATTTAGTCGTATAAGAAAACAATACTTAGATAAAACGAATCAAAGTTTAGGAATGGAAAGTAGCTACGTTATTTTCGAGTATAAATCGTACTCAAAAGTGACGTCATGCGATATTACAAATCAATATATCTTCGAAACTGTTCGTTTCCGTATGAAAATAAAAATATGCGTGTCAAATGTTTTTAAATAATCTACCAGACGGACATTTAAATAAAAAATTATCATCAACCTTATTCTCGAAGAGGTATATTTTTTTTAATATTTTTTTTTATTTTTGATGGGTACCTTATTCTCGAAGAGGTATATTTTTTTTTATATTTGATGGGCCGAGGTTTGCTCGCTGTCTCTCGGTAGATGGCACGTGCGATGAGAATAGTGCCTGCAAACTTATATGTAGCTATTGTCTCATGTGTGTAAGTCGATGAATATTTTGTTTTTAATAAGTTTAAGTGTGGGAGAGCCATGCTTCGGCACGAATGGGCTGGCTCGACCGGAGTGATACCACGGCCTCACAGAAAATCTACGTGAAGCAACGCTTGCGTTGTGTTTCGTCGTGTGAGTGAGGTTATCGGAGGCTCAGTTACACTCCCCTTCCCCAATCTCCCCAATTCCTGAATCCCTAACGATCCTCAAACTCCTAATCCCCAAAAGGCCGGTAACGCACTTGTAACGCCTCTGGTGTTTCAGGTGTCCATGGGCGACCGACGCTGATTGCTTACCGTCAAGTGATCCGTCTGCTCGTTTACCGGCTTAAAAAAAATAAAAAAGACGATATCTTTAATCACGGTGTGTTTACAAAATATTTTCAGCCTATGTAGCTTATGAGTCTCGACATGTGTGATTATACTCGACTCTTATTACATGGGATAATCACAAGGCAACCAAAATGGATGAAGTTAACGCGTCTGAATGGCCTTTTGGAGAAACCGTATTCAGTATCACGTACCATAAAATTATTCAGCGTTTTCGGTACCCTTGATAATTTGCTATGCATGCCATTTCTTTGAAAGCGATTTAAGTAATCTGTTTGTATGTTCTGTGTTATTTTGCTGTTAATAATTTGTTTAATACGTAGGTATGTAATTATATGTAGTAGTCGAGTATTTATAACGTAACATCACACCTTTTATCCCTCAAGGGGTAGGCAGAGGTGTAGATTATGCCACGGACAATCATGTAACACCCACTTTTCACTATTTATGTTATGCGTCCCATGTAATAGGGGGTGAGCCTATTGCCATATACTGGGCATAATTCCAGATTCCGTGCTACTACTGTGATTTTTTTTAATAAATCCAGTAATACTTTGCCCGACCCGGGAACCGAACCCGGAACCCCTTGCCCGGCAGTCGCACTTGCGACCACTCGGCCAATGAGGCAGTCGAATATTTATTCACGTATTTATTTTAACTAGTCGAGTTCCTTGTCAAATAGTTACGTGAGAAAGCCAAAAAACATAATAATTAATTTAGTGTCTCATGACAGTTATAATGGGTTTTTTCAACGTTCTTTATATATATTTCAACAAAAAATAAACTTATATAACTTAAGTATGAATAAAACTGAAATATTCACACCATAAAAAATAATAAAGTATTAATAATTTTATTGATGTAGATGAATAACTCAAAATTACATTGATGTAGGTAGTGATTATAATTTATTATAACTGTAAAGATTGTCGAGGTTACTGAGGTATTGAGTTTTTCGATTTGGTTTCGACTACGTTTCACTAAAACGCACTGAACATAATAACGTATTATTATGGTATATGCAAATTTTACTTACACACGTTCATATTTCACATAGAAAAATAAGTCACATTCTAACTGTATTTTTCTACCATGGAAAAACAAAGAGAAAGTTCCCGATTTGTTGGAATATTTTTACCGTAACATTCTAACTTATTCACATTTTATTTCGCCGTGAAATGTAGCCGATCAATAAATATTATCCGGCTTCAAAAGCCTCTTAAGTGAGAGTAGTAAATTCTGAACCCTCAGCAATCCAAGGTCATCAGCCAAACTTTGAACAAGATAACAAATCTTGCCAGAAAATACTTTAAAGTTCTCCAATTTTGTTGTAAAGAAGCATTTTTTTGTCAAGTACTCGCGAGGGCTTTGTTAATCTAATCTAGGGAAACGTTTGGGTTGCGTCTCACTTTTATTACACAGCCGCCATTTTAACTTGACGCGAAAAAAACAAAATGGAAGCTGTTTTAGAAATTTATCGCTGTTTAATGCGAAACTTTGCTCCTTATTCTAATGTCCTTTGAAGATGGAGGGTTTTAGATAGAATTTGCGCAGTTATCCATGCTTTAGTGTACTCAAGTGCAAGTGTAGTGTATTATTTCGTTTTTCATAAAGTATTTAATACTTAAACCTTATTGGTTTTTTCCCACAGGAACGTATTTACGAAGAATGTCAGACGATCCTGGGTGATTCAGACACAACTCCAACGATGTCTGATCTGGCTGAAATGAAGTATCTGGAGGCAGTTATTAAAGAAATCTTAAGACTGTATCCGAGTGTGCCGTTCATTGCCCGGGAGGTGACTGAAGACTTTATGTTGGGTAAGAAGTTGTTTTACACTCTCTAAACGTTAAAAATGCTTTTTGTTGATTCTGTGGGCTTAGGAGTAAATGTAAAACTAAATTCCCTAGTCAAGCTAAGTTTTGTAATTTCTAAATTATCAGAAAGAAAGAAACTATTATTCTCTTGTCTCTATGTCTGTTATATATGAGTGAGACACAATAGAAAACACATTTTGTCTCGCGTAGATCTGCATTCCGACACTTCACAGGTAAAATATAATTAAATCATACTCCTTACCAGGGTTGCCAAACTGTGGGGAATTCCCCAAACTGCGGGGAATCTCAAGTTGGTTGGGGATTTATTGGGGATTGGCATTATGTGGGGAAAATGCGGGGAAAATGCGGGGATTTTGACATCTTTTGGCATTTGACACAAATTGGAAAATATTTCATCGTTTTTTATCGATAACAACATTTTTTTAAATCATAAAGCATGAAGGCTGGAGAGAACATAGAAAATTTGAAAAAATATGAAAATCGAGGTACATTTTGCAGCTATTGCAGATTTCTATAAGACATGCTAAGAATTTTATATGGAATTCACATCGGACATTATTAAGATATTTGATTTCCGAAATCCTTTATTTTCTATTATGTGTGTTTCAAATCCATTAGAAGTTCAACAGTTTCAAATTAAATCACTGGTGCCTGTACTGAAGTGATGTCCAGTGCAGTGTGACAGTACAAAAATTAGGAGATGAGTGGCGAACTCACGCTAAGCTGGATTTTCATCAACATGGGCTTGAAGTTCATGGAGATAACATTGATGATGAATGTTATCGGGGTAAAGGGTTTTGCATGAAAAACGCTGCGGGAGAATACCTATCCTCAAACATAAAAATTGTTATTTCATTATTGCTGATATTGCCTTTATCAAATGCATCAGTCGAGTGCTAGTGTCCTTAAAAAAATTTAAACTGAAAGCCGCAGTAGATTGAATACAGATACTATAGTATCATTAATGGCTACAAGGGAAGGGATTAAAAAACTGGGCGACAGTGTCAAGTTGAACCCTTCGAACAAAATGCTTTCGACTAATATATGGAAAAAAATATAAAAGATAAACAATCAATATTATTTAAATAATTGATTATAGTTTTATTTTATAAAAAACTTTTGCGGGGAAATCAGCAGATTTTTATTCCCCAATTTGGGGAATTCAATCAGGAATTTTGGGGATTTTGATGAATTAGCTTTGGCAACCCTGCTCCTTACTAACATTATAAACGCGGCATTTTGTGTGTTTGTATCTTAGTGTGTTTGTGTGTATATTTGTGACGTGATTGTACTTAGTTACGTCAAAAACAGTTGAAGGGATCGCGGGAGGAAGGGATGAGCCTATTGCCATACACCAGGCACATTTCCAGACTCCGTGCTACTACTGAGATTTTTTTTAAAAACTCAGTATTACTTTGCCCGGCCTGGGAATCGAACCCGAGACCCCTTGCCGCAGTTGCGACCACTCGGCCGATGAGGCAGTCGAACATAATATCAGTAGTTACAAAACCTAGAGTTCATCTCTTCTCGCAAAAGAAATTAAATGAGTATGTATTACAAAGAGATCGTGTAAGATCCACCTCCGCTTCAATTAGAAAAATGTTGATTCAATAAAACGAACAACAATGAAGACCTTTTTCGAAAATAAAGAATAACTATTAATCGAAATTGTGACATATTTATACCGACCTAGCTACCAATAAGGGTCAGTGAATTAAAGATAAACATTTGTGTAGGTGTCGATATATGTGAGGTCCTGCGTATTATGTCGAATTTGTTATAGATAATATTGTAATTGAAAAGGAATTGTTAGAAAATAACAAGCTTATCTAAGAGGAAAAGATAATTTCTGAAGGCGGAAATTATCATTTTGAATTGAAAACGTTTTTGGGTATTTTATTGATGATTTTACGTAATTACGACTTTAATAAACGTCAGCATGATAATAAGGTAACAAGAATTATTTTAATAGTCATTAATTTGCAACTAATGATATAATTGAGTAGTTTCATGGGTCAAAAATAGATTATTTTGATTTCTCAGTTCAATTAAATATTGAAAAATAGTTACAATTTGCCACTACTAGCAAAAGAGAATAGAAACATGCCAACACAGATAAACAATAAAATTACTAATGATAACTGGTTGACAAGTATTTTATATCACCTAAAATAGAAAACAAAACAATACTGAAACCTTTAAAAAGTTTCGTAATGGCTTCGGAAGTGTAGTTAGTCAGTCTACATTGTTTTAGACAATTACAAACACAGGCAATACATCAACAGAATTTCAAAATCCAATCAACATAACATAACATCACGCCTTTTATCCCCGAAGGGGTTGGCAGAGGTGCAAATTACGGCACTTTATGCCACTGTACAATGTAACGCCTACTTTTCACTATTTATATTATGAGTCCTATGTAATAGGGGGTGTGCCTATTGCCATATACCGGGCACAATTCCAGACTCCGTGCTACTACTGAGATTTTTTTAAAACCCAGTAGTACCCCGATCCAGGAATGGAAACCGAGACCCTTTGCCCGGCAGTCGCATTTGCGACCACTCGGCCAACGAAGTAAAATCCAATCACTTGGATGAAAACTGTCTTACTCAAATAACTTAGGCATTATTTCTAGACCTAGTGTTATTGTAGACAGCTCTCGAATGTCCTACAAGGTCCTAACATAATCCTACTATACTGTCCAAAGGGAACGTGACCAATAAGGCGAAGAAGACGTGACTAGTCGACTATCAAATTGTATATAGCCAGATCTAAATCCAGACAATAATGTTAGGATAGGAAAAACTTCGTTCAAAATAGCGTTTGGTTTCATTCATGACATGGTCCCACATTGGGCGGCAATAAGACTTCGATTGTTATAATCGTCTTGTTGATCAATTTTTTTTTATGGCATAAGCCGGTAAACGAGCAGACGGGTCACCTGATGGTAAGCAATCGGCGTCGCCCATGGACACCCGGAACACCAGAGGCGTTACAAGAGCGTTACCGGCCTTTTGAGGATTACGAGTTTGAGGATCGTTGGGGATTCAGGGATTGGGGAGATTGGGGAAGGGGAGGGTAATTGGGCCTCCGGTAACCTCACTCACACGACGAAACACAAAGCAAGCGTTGCTTCACGTCGGTTTTCTATGAGGCCGTGGTATCACTCCGGTCGAGCCGGCCCATTCGTGCCGAAGCATGGCTCTCCCACGTTTAAAGTCAAATTAACACAAAAGTAAAATTATTGTGATTTTTTGGGTTTAGAAATCAAAAGTATTGAAAGGGTAGTTATTCCGTTCCACGTTGTAATGAAATTCTCGCAAAAAATAGATTTACAATGAATTTGTCGCTGACTTTTTTTCTAAAAATATTAAGTTCATGTAAAATCAAAGCAGAAACCCAGTCAGACTGTTTTAATAACATAAAAGTAAACATAAATTCTGTTTGTTCAACGTTTCACATAAAAATTTTTAATATTAAGGATAGTCGTGACATTACACAGAATTCAGTGTTATTTCAAAAAATACACTGGAAGCTATATAAATAAACTAAGAAATTTCATTGAATATTCTGTCATAACAACTGGTATTCAGACCCTGGATATAAAACTGCTGGTCGGTATAAGAAAGGTAGGAATAAACCCAGTTTTTATACTGAGGCAACAAAAATGCTTATGGCCTAATTTGATGGAAAGTCGTTATTGTAACCTAGGGGCAGATGGCCATAATTCTCAAGATCATTTTAAGTTACAGAACTTGATATTGACTATATAAAAGCGTACTTGCAACAATAATTGTGGGAAAGCCATGTTTCAGCACTGGGCCGGTTTGACTAATGCGATACCACGGCCTCACAGAAAACCGACGTGAGACAACGTCTGTGTTGTGTTTCGTCATGTGAGTGAGGTTTCTGGAAGCCCAATTAAATGATAACACCGTGTGTTGACCTTAATTAGTCAAAAAAGTATCTATGTCTTAATAATTAATCACTTGCAATGAAAACTTTTAAGTGACTGGTAAAAAATTATGACATAAGACGTAGGTACCTACTTACTTAGACATATTAAATAACGTGGAACTTAATGCCCAAGAATGGTGTAAAACGTTAACATAAACTGACATTTGACATTTGACCGGCCTATCTGGAAGTCTTTGGGGGAGGCCTATGTTCACCAGTGGACATCCTTATATAGCTGCTGATATTTATGATAATGATGTCATGTCACCTTTAATTTATTGAATTTCTTAACAGAAAACAGCCAATCATGTAGTTTTTGACCTTTCGAAACTAATATTTTGAATGTCAACAACCTAATCTCAGTTACGAAACTTGGTAAATGTAAAAATAACACCCACATTTGTTTATCGTATGAAATTTGATATAGGTACATTAAAATACTCGAGACAATATTCAACCATTGTTACGTAATACCTATTATTTATAATACATACCTCTTCAAACGAGAGTATACTGTTCTGAACGTAATATTTCCATTACTGAAATCTCTCTTGATGAGCAAAAACATGATGAATTACGTGCCGTGAGGTTTTGCATACATTACTGGTTTTATTCGCGTGGCACCCGGTGATATAAAAGCTTTGGGAGCCATGTACAGGCAATAAGACGTTTTTTGTTCAAAATTCTCGATTTTAATAATAATTTCGTGGCGTTGACGAGGGGTGGATTTATATTGTTTGTTGAAATTACGCGCTCACGACGTACTATAAAATGGTTGACCCAAGTTTGTAGGAGAAAAGGCAATATATGCCTTAAATGGGGCTAGACTAGATTTTAAGCGTACCAACATTTTTGGGATTGTCGGGAGGTAGGTTGTATGTAGAATTCTTTATCTTATACATAACATAACATCACGCCTTTTATCTCCGAAGGGGTAGGCGGAGGTGCACGTTATGCTACTGTACAATGTAACACCCACTTTTCACTATTTATGTTATGAGTCCCATGTTATAAGGGGTGAG